TAATGCTATTTATGTGGTATTTCTTCTTATAGTCATGCTTATAATTTTCCTTCCTAACCAAAGTAGAAGTAGAAGGTGTGTCAATTTAAAATAAACCTACATTCATTCTCACAGGAAACATTTTCTTATGGAGCAAGGCTTTAAGATCTCTCAGATTCTCACATTCTGAATATCAGTCTTGCCTTTTAAAGTGTAGAAGCCTTATCTGTGGGTGTAATTAAAATTCAACAGAAATCCATAAATGGCCCAGAATCATTAGTATTTCTAGACAGTTTGGATCATAAATCATTTGTGAAACTTTATTGGAAACCCAGAGAAAAAAGCTTTTCCCTTTGAAATAGTCTAAGACATGACCTTCAATGTTTCTGTTCTGTATGGAGTTAATCACTTGTAGGGATTTTAAAGTTAATATTGTATGAGTGCTCTCAAGAATGTGATAAACTGCCCATATTTCTCAAACCTTTGTACAGCAGGCACAGTATTATTTGGGCTGTTTAAACTGGGATAACCAAAGGGGAGCTTCTTTTCTGTGACAAACTTTTCTTTGACAAGACCAGGAACAAATTCCTTTACTCTCAAGACTCTGAAGTGGTTTCACATTTTCTGCTAACAGTCAGTCTTGCATCTTTCCTCCTACCATTTGCTTTTTCTTCAAGACATGCTGATAAGGCTTATTTCAGCAGGAGCAGGGCTGAAATGTGCCTAACATGAGGGACAGCAACAAGAACTTCAGAACAAATGGCATTTATTTAGCAGCTGAGGACCCATCTTCAAGGTGTAAGGTTCTCAAGTGTCCAGTCAAGTACACTGTGTGTGACATAATGTATCATACCACAGATGAGAAATTTGCAGAATAGAAGAGGGATGGGGATTATTGAAGGAAGTCAGGGTGCCTGTGGCAGGTGAGAGATTGAACCACTGGATATTTCTAGTAGGAATCTGAATTCCAAAACCACAGAGATGCTTCTGTAGTCTATTGGAGGTCCCTTAGCAATGTGATTCAGAGGTGTTCAGCATATTTGAGATTGAATATAGTAAACATGCTAATGTAAAATTTAAGTTAAGAATTTTTTAGGTCCCCTAGAAATTACTTTATTATGCTAGCTTTTCTCAGAATTGAACAAGTTAAGCTGGTGTGCCAAATGTTTTTTTTTTTTTTTTTTTCCCTCAGGAGCAGGTTAAATCAGTTCTCCAGTTCTGTGCAATGATTTCTGCATTAGCACTTTTTCTTGTCATAGCAGCATTTCAACAATTCAGCAGGTTGGCCTTATATGCCTTTTTATGAGGGATATTTTTTTACATTTTCTCCCTCTGCTATATCTAATGTGTAAACGTGAGGGACAAAAGATTGGTTAGTGTTTCCATTATGGCATGGATCTCCTTGGGCTCATGTATATTCACTATTATTAGACAGTTCATATGCCTTTAACCCATCACTTAATGGAGCACAAATCAGTCAAGATTTGCATTTTGATTGCTATTCAAGTTTCCAAACTCATGAACTCCCTGTCTAAAGACAGGAATATTTATCCAGGTTAATTGATAAAATCTCCTTAACATAAAGTGCTCTAGGAAACAATTTCAGAACACTTACAAGTTGTATTAACATCTCATTATTTTATTCAACAGCCCCACATCAAGAGGGGATGTAGGATGAATGACAAATGTTTCCTAATGGCATTTTATCTAGACAAAACCTCATCTCTTTTAAGATATCTTTATGTTTTTTTTCTTAAGATCCAAGTGTCCTTAATAACTTTTCAGCCTTAGCTAACAAAACCTGAATTTATACAAAGCAGTTGCTAGAGTCTGAATGCTGAATGGTTTGATTGCTTGCTGTATATTACAAATTTTAATAGAAAATTAAAAAGAAAAAGAAGAGGAAAAATCAGAATTACCATAAAGTCATAAGCAATATGTAAACAGGAATAGAACTAAATTTCTTAAATAAATGATTCATTACAGGCTAGTACTCCAAGCTTTTTTCCACTTTTACACTGACTCTTTTATTTGCCTAAGGACAGCTTCCTATGCATTTACATCATGATAAATGTGTCTTTAAAGCAGTGAAGCAGAGATAAAATAGATGGTTGGAATTTGCTGTGGAATGTCACACCCTGTAAAAACTCCAGTGCCTCAGGTTAAATAGTTGTACAGATTTAGTACAGTTTATTCCTATTATTTGTAAAATATTTATGTAGCTGATTTTCCCCCTATAATAATAATTGTTTCAGACCAAGTAATTTCAAATTATCTCAGTATTAATTTTTATTGGCAGCAGACTAAAAGTAAACCCTTGTACTTTACTGCTCTGGTGGGAGAAGGAAGACTAATTGGTGTTATTATAAATGGAAATAAAACTAAATACTTCTTCTCCACTCTGAATTGACTGAAATTAGGGCAGAGGAGGCTCTTTGTCAATAACAAGTTACAATGAAAACCAATTAGAACAAGTCCTGTATTATAAATAGGAATGTAGTATTACCTTTTCAATCTATGGACAAATCTCTGGAATTTAGGAGGATATGTCTATCCAATATGTTTATTTATGTAATGTAATAATACTTAATAAACTGGTAAAGTTAAATAAACATGTATGTGTCTTTAAAGCAAGTATTTTAAGTGTTTAATTCTCATCAACAAATACTTCTGCTCTTTCAGGCAAAAAAGTGCTGTCAATTTTTTTCTTATTTTTCTTAAAAGATGAAGTGGCTTTCTACTTAGTTGTCTTACTCATCTTCCTGCTCTAACATAATTCCATTTTGTAGCCTCTTCCATTTCACAAATTCCTTCCCCATGTACTATCTCTAAACAAAAGAAGAAATTGACTTACCACTTTTCTATGACAAACATCTGGAACAGCTGAGAAAAAAAATCTGGCTCATTCTTGTCTATCATGTATACATTATGTTCACTAATATTTTTTATAGAAATATATTTTGCTTAGGTTGCCTTTTTTATGTCATGCCCACAGCCACTCACTTTCCTGACATTGTAATGTCAGCCAAATGTTCCTGACAGGTATGGGAAGAAAAGCTCCTCAGGAGAAGGTTGCTGTGTTGGGAGATTACCAGAAAAACCCAGCTGTTCTAAGCAGTGGTTTTGATATCATTACTAGTTTTATCTACTGTATCGATAATGAGCACACATGAATGGTTTTAATGAAACTTAAATTCTAATCACAATGGGGATTAACTGACCTACCTGTCTGCCTTGCTGAAATTCAATATTTAGATACCATATTTTTATATGCAGCATTTCCTCTTTACGTCCTACTTTATGCTCTGATGAGCAAACCCTTCTGAGTTCTGAGGTTTCCATCCAGACATAAATACAGGCACGCTGCCCTGGCACCACAGAGTTGCTTGCAGCAGGGTTGGCTCAGAAGTCCCTCAGGACAGTAGCAGGTCCTGACTCTGGACGACCTCTCAGAAAACAGTGACTCTGCCCTCTTTTGCTGCCTGGCTGAAAGAAGACCATCATACTTGGATTTCTCTCTGGTTTTGCAGGAACTGTTCATGTGAGTACTCCTTCAGGAAGATATGATGGTTTTAATAGTCCAATACAGAATTAATATTAGTCGATATTTTATTTTTTTTTCATTACAAGATCAGTTATACTGTCCATGTTTCAAGCATCAACATATTTCTTTAGTTGTTACTTTTCTTAAGGTTTTGTTTTGTTTTGTTTTGTTATTTTTTTTTAACTTGATTACTTTCTGTTCCATCAACTGTCTCCTAAGTTTTTATTAGGAGGGAAAATGAGTATTCATGTTCTGTTCACCTTCTCCATTCTAATAATTATTATCATCATATATATGTATCTGTACTTTTTTAATAAAGTATTTAATTAGCCCATTAAGTTACCTTTCTAAACTATATATGCCCTTCTACACCTTTTCCTCTCCTTAATTTTCTTTAAATCGTATCCTGCATCAGTCTATGATTTTTTTTTTCATTTCTTTTTCCATTTTTAATTCTATGCTATTCTTAAGTAGTACCATGTGTTTACTCTCTGTGAAATTATTGGAAGAATGGACAGATGAAGGTGTCTGACTTCAAAAATACTTTATTGGCTGCTTTTCCTGCTTCCATTTCCATGTCACCTTATAATAGTTACCTCTGTTGTGAAAGTTCAGCACTTCCAAAGGAGTACAAGCTTTGCTTTCCACTCATTTTGCAGTAGATGACTTTTGATCCCCCAAAATATCAAATAACAGTTAAAACTGTGCAATATCTTATTATTTATCATGTTCTTTAAATAGACTAGATGTTCTAAGAACAAAATCATAAATCAATGAGGACCTTCTGTGTTTTATTTTAAGTTTTCATTGGATAATTTCAGTGAGAGATTTTCACACTGAATGTCATTCACCAGCCTGGTAAGTTAAATCACTTGATATTAGTATTAAATATATTTTAAAAGTATTTTGCTTTGTTAACACTTTTTCTGAACAAATAAATATATCCCTTTCTCTTCAGTCCTTATCACCTTCAGAAATTGCATGGAAAAAGAAGGGAAACAACAAGTAAAGTTGTTGGTTTTCCCCCCACAGTATCTGGTTTACTTCTGCAAATAATTGATGCAAACTGAACTTAAGTGAGTATTGATCTGAGTACAAATCTAGCCCTAAAAAACTTCTGTGTTTGCAGCAAGCTTCATGAAGAAAAAAGGCTCTTAAAAGTTGTTACTTGTTTCACTTGTAATAGTATCAAGTGTAAAACTAGCAGATTTGATGATGATAGGATGCATACCTAACTCAAGGTGAAAAGAAGGTTGTCTCATTCGTTTAAAGATTCAGGCAAGTACTACATAGAATAACAAGCTTCATAATTAAGAAATTTGATCCATTTTATTTTGCTGAAGTATCTGATCTATTCAATGATGCTGCAGCCTCAGAGGAACCAGACCTCTTAAGCCCCACAAAACTGCTGCTGTCCAGGAAGAGAAACAGAGAACGATACAGAGCTGGGAGGGGGCAGAGAGAGATTTTTATTGGAAGCTGTTAAAGTGGTTGCTATGAGACCTTCTCCAGCTAACACCGGCACAGCAGTGTGTGAGGCTGTTAAATCATAGCTCTTGCATTATACCTTCCCTTTCTGCCTTTTTTTTTTTTTCTTTTTCCCTAACACAGCTTTTGTAGTTGTTTAAGATCAGAGAAAGCACCTGCCAGTTGCTTTTTCTTCTGTTTCAGTCCCTTCTGCTGCTTCGTGCAAGATGGAGCTAGAAAATGCAGTGATCAGCTCCACGAGCAGTTCTTCAGCAGGCTCCAGAGAGTACAAGGTAGTGATGCTGGGAGCAGGGGGAGTTGGCAAGAGCGGTAAGTTTCAGTAACAATATTTTGGGAGAGAAGGGGTGAATTAGGAGCATAGAGTTCACTGGAAAAGGACATTGTTTAATGAGGGGTTTCATTCCTCTTTCTCTTGCACATGGCTTGGATAAAAGACTATAGTTCGTGACTGGGGCAATGAGTCAGCTTAATTTGTTGCAGACTGAAATGCTGAAAGTCTTTTTAATTGGTTATTTGTATAGGACTGACCTTGGGTGTGTTGTGTGTGAGGAGAGAGCAGCCAGGCTGCTGCTGTGAGTTTAACAGCAAGCGCCCATGTCACTCTCCCACTTGGTGGGGGCTGGTGATTTGCTGGACAATGTGGATGTAACTTGTTGGCCTGAGGGTACTTGTGCTCAGGAAGAAATCAAACTAACTGCAAAGTCAGCTGTACAGTGTAGAATGTGGGGGAATTCCTGAAGTGACTCTGTTTTCTTCCCCACTTTTTTTTTTTCTTTTTCTTTTATTTTTTTTTTTTTTTTTTTTTTTTTTTTTTTTTTTTTTTTTTTTTTTTTTTTTTTTTTTTTTTTTTTTTTTTGAGTGTCATTGTGGCTCAGCTGAGTTTAGTCTCCTCTCTGGTCTGGACAGATAGAGCATGCCAGCCTGTCTCACTCCAGGCTATGAGGTAGATTTGTAGCATATTTTAATATCTCTGTCTACAGCTGGCAAGATATGCTAGTGCCTGACAATGATATCTCTTCAGAGGAGTCATTATTTTCCCCGGACAGTGTTTTCTTTTTCCCAGATATTATCAGCTTTGATTTATTCTCGCTGAAACCAGCATTCTCTGTTCTTACAAAGACTTTGCTGAACATGCAGAGTTTGTCTCAGAAGTCAGTATATTGAGCTGGCCACAGAACAAGAATTTGATTACATCTTCTGGAAATTCAAATAAACAACAGAAAAAGAAAAATAAATTGCAAAAAGCAGGATTATATAATATAATGCATACCAGCTAGATTCCAAGGAATTTTCAGGATAAATAGCTGTGACACTAAACTGTAATAACTGTATAGATTGAACAAGTTTTATTTATATTCAATTAATAATATGATGTATAGGTGCAAAAAGTTAAAATGTGAGTGAACATAATTTTCCTTCTGTATCCATAATCTTTATGGTTTTGATATATTTGGCTTCAACTTCAGTGGCACATCTTTCAATGAAAGGTATTTCCCATCAGTATTACTTTACCAAGCAAACAGTTCTTTCACAGATGTTACTATATAATCAACATATAAAATGAGAAAGAACAAAATACTGGTAATCTTGGGGTAAATTTCTGCAAATTCAGATTATATTTTCCATAGAAAAGCAGATATCCAGGATGTGCCAGCTGAAACTTTCAGTAAAATATCTTTTTATTTTCCCCTTGCTTAAGTATTTTTTAATTTCTTTTTCTTGGTTTTTTTTTTTTTTGGGTTTTTTTTTTTTTTTTTTTTGTCCCTGAGTGTGTCCAAAAGATGGCAGCAATTTCCCCCACCCCCAAGCATATGTTTGTAGGAATAATGTAATTGTGAAAATTTGTTCACCACAAAGTATTACAAACTATACTGCATTCAAAGCATGACTGAATCATAACAACCAAACTTTACACATACATGGCGGAAATCTCTTAGATAAAAGTTGAAATCACAAATTTAGTTAATTGAAATTTCTGTGTTCAGAAAATGTTAGCTGTTAATTTAATGAGAATAAAACCTTTATATCTGTGGATTGAATAAGGTATGATACATCTCCAAAGCTGAGAAACATAAATAACAAGTAGAATTGTGTGGTCAAAAAGAAACTAAACTGGGATTAACTGGATATTTATGAAATTCTATTGTAAAATTGCAAACTTTCTCTTGTTACCATGAAAGTGAAACTGCTAGGTGGAAAAAAAAAATACCTTGGAAACTGAATATTATTAAGCGTTCATAAGAAAGCAGGTGGGCAGTTCAGCATTTACTTGCTATGAACTTCTGATGCGTAATGGACCTGAAATATTTTGGTAGAATCCTGAGAGATAGTCCAACTGATATAATTCAGAGAGAGATAAAAAGTAAAAATAGATGTCATTCCATAAATCATTAATTCATTCTGACTGTTACATAAACAGGATTAATTTACACTGGATTGTAAATAGAAAAAGGCATTAATGACTACTTTCATTGTACAATATGAACTCTGCTTTTCCCCAGTGAGCTAAATACAGTGTGTCCAGGAAATTATTAATATAGCCATAAAAATGAATCTGAGTACAATAAGGATGAAAGAAAAAAAAAGTTGTTTCCAATTTTGATTTTGAAAAATCAGTGATATGTGAATAACATCCTGCCTTCTTTTTCCTGTCTTCTTCCTCCTTTGCTTTTAAGTTGTGATAGAAACAGTAACAGCTGGGGTTAAATTACTGAGTGGGAAACCTCTTTCAGATGAAAGCCTTTCCATTCCTCAATTCACTCAAATATTAAATAATTTGGAATGAATTTTCCATAGGAACCAAGCTGCAAAAACGTCAAGATTTCTTTTTACACTGGATGTAGTTCACTTCCAGAGGTCCCCTGGGCATTTTGGTCTTATGGATCCAACCCTCCCCTGCTCTCTACATGTGACACTTGCAAATAGGGTGTAATGAACAGGAGGAGACCAAAAATGAATGTTCTTTGGGCATTGGATTACTCAGGCTTGTCTCTTCACTTCTCTGCTCAATGATGGCAGACAGTCCAGGAGGACAGGCAGCATCCTTTTATTTGTCCTATTCAGTGTGATGTAAGTTTCACAGGAATTGGTAGAAGATTAATTCTGTGTATCCCAGTCTGACACCCATCACATGCAGAGTTATAATGTGTAAACTGCAAATGATCTGAGAATTGTTACCTAATAGTTCTCACATTTCAAAATCAATTTTAGAAAACTAATAGTAATTATAAAAAAAAAAGTTTGACCTTATTTATAGGAGGGAAAAACCACCACCTCAAAACCCAGCTCTAGAAGAAACAGGTAATAGTTGTGTCTAATGAAAATGTACAAAGTTAGCTGTAAATTTTTATAGGAGTTGATTTCTGTACTGTAATTATGGAGTATATTCCCTAGAATGAGTTATCCCTTCTAAGACTTATGGAAAGAGATTTTTTCAGAGCAATATGTTGATTTCTTATGTTGTGTAAGCTGTGCTTGTCGTCAAGAACATCCAGTAGAGGCTGATGCAAGTTCAGACCAAAGTTACGCTAGAGCCAATAATTAAATTGAAATTAAACTGAAGTGAATAAAGTAAATTTTGTATTGACTCCCATTCAATTATAGTTCATATCAAAATTATATATTTCTAATTTTAGTCATATTTCAATTAAGAATACTAATTTGGTGTCTGTTCTTCTCTGCTGTGATGACAAATATCAGGCCACCTCAGTGCCACTCAAACTTACATGAAGTTACCTGACAGAGAGCTCATACCATAAGAACCTTGGAGTTCTGAAACCCATTTTATTCACAAATACCTTTAGAGATCACAAAAAAAGGTGCTCTCATCTTGCCTGATGCAGATCAGACCTCTGGGGTTAGCTCTGTTTTTCAGTTTTACAAATAAAAAATCATGCATAGAAGAGCCTTTCAATCCCAGGCCCATCCATTGCTGCATTTTATTTAGCAAACCAGTTACACTGATAACAATACTTAACTGCAGCACATTCTGCAAAACATTAGTGATGATTAACCCAGGGCTTGCAAAGTGACTGCTAAAAAGAACAAATTGATGTTCCTGTGCAACTGAATAAAATAAAAAAATTCCCTCTGATGAAAAATTTTTACTTAAGCAATCTCCAAACACTGATCAGATTGCACCATAACCCACCTTTATGTGCATCTTCTTGGCTGAATAAAAATATTGTTTTAGCATTTTCTTGGCTTTTTTTTGTTTGATTGTTTTTTTCCTAACCCTGGTTAACAATGATTTATTTAAGGCTGAACATGAGCTACAGTTATACTCCAGGTAAATAAAATTACATGTTTATGCATAGCATAGGTTTATCATAGGTGAAAAGTGAATTTCTATTTGGCTGTATTATGGAAGTTTATTTTTCAAACTGATTGTCAGATGATCTGTTGCCACCATATAAAATTTGAAGATATTTTAAAATAATTGCCTAAAGACTTTTGTAAAACTAATCTGCTTCCAGTTTAATTGTATATTGGAAAGTATTTAGAAATGTATTTTCAGGCTTCAATCTTAAAAAGAATAAAAAGGAATAGATGAGAAGAAATTGAGAAAAGATTCTCTCAAGGATATCGGGGGAATAGTATGAGAAAATATATCCTCAGACTGGGCTGGCTAAGGGAGGCATTCCATTGATTTCCTTGATTTTTGTTTTGTTTTGCTTTGTTAGTTTTTTCTAGTGTGGCATAAAGGCTGTGTTTCTACAGATGCAGGTGACTCATCCAATTAATTTCAAGATCATGTGTACACAAAAACTTCCAAAATGCGTGAAAACAATTATGTTCTGTGGGACATGGGAACTTCAGTATGAGGAATTAGATTAAATCTGCAATTTTATTTCATTTATGTGCTCAGCTACCTTTTGTTTTTTTCTGGACAGGTTTTACCTCTTATTCTGCCTTGATAAAGCAAATTATGTGCCTATTATTTTCAAGCATGTCCTCATAACAAGAGTCTCCAGTAAATAGAGCACCACGGAATGTTTGCTGGAGAGCTGACCCACTGCAGCTGTTTGCAAACTCTCTGGAGATAAATTAATGTGTGATCCAGGTTACACTGGAAAGGATGAAGGGCAAAGGTAGAGATTCCACTGGTATTAAAAGTTCTGAGCTTGAAAAGCACCACCTGGGCCTGCTGATGTTGTTCTTTACCCCACCACCGGGCCTGGTGCCACAGAGCGCTCTCCAGACATTGATCAAAACCTCAGCAGCATTTTTTTTTTTATTAATTTTTTTTTTTTTTTTTTTTTTTTTTTTTTTTTTTNTTTTTTTTTTTTTTTTTTTTTTTTTTTTTTTTT